CCCAAGGGGGAAATGAGCCTTTTCTGCTCTTCGATGCAGTAGCTATTGTGTATTAATACCAAGAAGCCTGTCTCTGCCTTTGGAAACAGACTGGACCCATCAGGGCAGATACAGCAGAGGAATCCCCACGGGGTGGTGCTAGGACAAAAGGAAGTTGTCTCTCAGGTTGGAGATGCGAAGGCCATAATGTGACTTCATAGCCTTGTTCAGGATTATTTAATAAGTTATTCTGAACACACCCCATACATTATAAGGGAACTGAACACGGGGTTTAAATTCTAGTGCTATTCTATAATAATAACTTATTAAAAACCAGTAGGCTCCAGTGTCTGCAGCTGACTGAGCAGTGGCGAGCCCCAGCTCTCTAGATTCTGAGATTATCACTGGGCATTTCTGCTCAGTGGCTGCAAGACACCCTCAGCACAGACAAAGTATCCCCAAACCAGGAATCAGCCTCTTGGAGCCTGCCTTGTTAACACAAATATAAAGAGGCATAAGAACAGCATGTACTTATCACAAACTCCATGAACACATGGGTGGAATGTCACTTACATAACCTGGCAGGTTGCAGTTGTGCCGTAATGTTACACACCCCGGCTTTCTTAAACCAGCAGAAATCTCTAAGGTCTTCTTTAAAAAAAGGAGTCTTTCCGTTTTCTACTGGAGACAATGCTCACAGCATGAGTAATGCCCATCAGTTATCAGTAATTTAGCAGATTGTGCCAGTGTTGACATTTGTTCTTTGCTTAATTGTGCGTGCGTGTGTGTTTTAAACAATGATGCAGCTGTCCCCATTGCTGGCAATTAGGATATAAAAATGGTGTTCACTGAATCTGGCATAGTGATCAGCTATCCATGTGTTTACTCTTTTGTTTGCAAGGCCTTCCGAGTGTTTGCTGCAATTCCACAATCAGAATATAGATTTGGCTTAAAATGGAACCTAGATCCATATATTAATAGCAACAACAGGGACTGCAGACCTCCTTGTCTCGAGATCTTTGGTCTCCGACTCCACTGCTGATGCTTGTATCGGGGTGTATGTTAAAGGTACCTCCCAACTTGATACGAAGATGGTCGGATGTAAGACACCGGTAGGATTAGGAGAGCCCTGTCAGCAGAGGTGCAGTGGACTATTGCTGATCATTTGCACGGTATCCAGTGATCCAAACACGTCGCACATAGAAGACTACCCCAGAGTTCCAGCTGTGGCCAAAGTCAGCATCGGCCCTCACTGCAGATTCCTGCAGGCCACCTGGCCATCAAGGAGAGTCCACACCCAGCATTAAGTAGTTCCTTTCTCTGGACTCTTTTGGCTCTTGGCTTGGTGGGTTTTTCGCTATTAGATTAGCTGGTTAATGTTAGCATCAGCTAGGGTGGGGACCAATTCCCATTAGGTCATGGCAGGTTTGAATCAAATACCTATGAAAAGAATAACCTGGCCCTTTGGAAAACTGTTTGGCAGGAGTCACTAAAGCTGAGCCTTCTGTGACCCAGCAATTTCACTTCTAAATACCGCTACCCACAGACAAGCATGCATGTATTCACCAAGAGATGCACACGGGAAGGCTCGTGGGGGCAGCTCTCCGGGAGTCCGTCAACAGTACAGTGGATAAGTAGGTTGTGCTATAGTCCAGCCATGACACACTATACAGAAATAAGATCGAACGAACTAGAACTGTATCTGTAAACCCTCTAAACCATAGCATGCGAAGTATTCGTTTTCTGGCCCTGGGAAACAAATGACCGACCAATTCAGTGGCTGAAAACAACATAGGCTTTTACCAGCTCACAGTGGTGCAGGTCTTAGATCTTGCTTCTCCTCAGAGGGCCTCACAGGCCAGGAGCTCAGGACCCTCTTCCCAGTTCATTCAGGTTGTGGTGGAATTCAGGGTCTTTCTTGTGATTGGAGGACTGAGGTCCCCCATTTCCTTGCGGCCTGCGAGCCAGGAGCCAGTCTCGGCTCTCAGAGGCCGTCAAGAGCTCTTGCCATGTGGACCCTTCTGTCGCCAAAGCCAACAGTGAAGAGCTTCCCTCGAGTCCATCTGTCTCATGCTTCAAAATCTCTGTCACCAGGAAGAGCTTAGTCCCTTGTAAGGGCTCATGTGATCAGGCCCACTGAGAATAGTCTCCCTTAAAGCCAACTGATTTGGGCCTTAATTACATCACACAATCCCTTTACAGCAGCACCTAGATTGATGGTCGATTGAATAACTGGGAGAAAGTGCGAGTACCAGAGAGAATGAGGAATCTCAGGGGCCATCTTAATTCTTCCTACCATACACAACGACATGGAGGAAACTTCCAGCTGATGGTGAGCGAAAGAAATCAGACATGAAAGAATATATAAGGTATGACTCTGTATAAAATGCAAGAACGGGAAGCACTGATCTTTGGGGTTAAAAGTCAGAATAATGGTTACTCTTGAGTACATAGTAACTGGAAAGGATCAGGGGAGGGGTCTTGGGTGGGGGGACTGATAATGTTTTTGTTCCTTGATCTGTGTGCTGGTTACATGAGTGTGTTCAGCTTGTGGAAACTCAGCAAGCTGTACATTTTTAGAATAATTTAGATTTCTTATTTTAAAATAGATTCGTTTTGTTTTTCCAAGGCACTATGTGTTCAAAGACAGCTATCAGAGAGGGTACTTGATGGGGGTAGGGAATCAGCAGGAAAAGAAAGGAAATGAGAGTGCATCACCAGCAGTGATGGGGATGGTACCTCATGACCTCTGCAGGGGAGGGCCAGAGAAGTGAAAAATTAGACTCTAGCAACTTGGACTGCTGTGCGGCACCCGCCACATAATAATGTGTGTGGTCCAGGGCAAAGCAAAATGCAGGGCCTCCTAGTTCAAAAATTACTATTATTTTTTTAAAGATTTTATTTAATTTATTTATTTGACACACAGAGAGAGAAGGAGAGAGCAAGCCCAAGCAGGGGGAGTGGCAGGCAGGGGAGAAGCAGGCTCCCCGCTGAGCAAGGAGCCCGATGTGGGGCTTGATCCCATGACCTTGGGATCATGACCTGAGCCGAAGGCAGCCACTTTACCGACTGAGCCACCCGGGCACCCCTAGCTCAAAAATTATTAAGAAGTTAAAGACAGCAAGAGTGGAACATTAAGCCAAGGGTGGGGGCACGGGCGGGGCACTGGTCCCCGACCCATGAAGCCAGCCCTGCCTCTCTGGGGGAAAATGCCACATCTCCCATTCCAAACACTTCTTGCTAGGTGAGTTACTTTGGGCAACTAGAGCTTTGGTCCTTTTGATTGTAAAGTGGGTTAGCTAGAGGCTAGCAGGCGCTAATTCAATTAATATATGCAAGAGCAAGCACTTTTTGATGTGTAAGACACCAAATAAATACAGGGATTATTATAAGAATGGGTCATCTAAATGTTTATGTGTTCTTTCTTTAATTGACCTCATAGATATTTTGGTACATAAACTCTTTACAGATAGCACAGGGTCCACTGCCACCTTGTGCATTAACACGAATTCCAAGCTTATTGGTGAATCCCTAATCATGAGATTTGCCTCCCTGTTCCTTGGTCTTCCCAGCTCGCAGAGCGAACTACTAAAGGGTAAGTCCAGAGCATTGGAGTCTGGACGCTTCCTCATCAAAGTCACTTTTTCTTGCTGCGATTAGAGTTTCAGTCTAGTTGGGAGCCGAATCCTTGCCCGGACTCCAGAACCTTCCCAGTGGTTGTGGGGCCCTGGGAAGGGGCGCCCTGAAATCATCCAGCGAGGGCTCCATGGTGAACGCCGCGGGCACGTGACTCTCCAGGCCTCGGGAGACTGCGGTGTCAGGTTGACAGGGCTGGCACCTGGCTTTCAGGGCAGGGGATTAGGAAAAGGGGAGCGCATTTAGGGACTTGGATTTCTGAAGAGGCGCGACTTCTGTGTTTATTTTCCCCGGCGTGCCCTCTGAAGCACAAACCTTTCCAGACTTGCTGACTTACTAAAGCTTTTGGGGACCGTGGTACGTAAGGCGGCCGGCTGCCTGACCTAAGATTTATGAGCGGCTCCAAGGATGAGACAAGGTCCCAGTGTCTTGGTGACAACAAGGTCTTTGACGAACAGCCGCGGGCTGCAGCTGGGGAGAGGGAGGAGGCCTGTGGTCGGGGTGTAGAGCCTCTGGATTTTCTCCCTGCAGGAGTTGGGTGCCCGGGGCGCAGGCGGGCAGCCCCGCAGGCCATCAACATGCAGGAGCCGCGCGCGCCGTCCTTGAAGGGTTGCCCGCTGACCTTGCTCCAATTTCTCCGGAGAAATCTCCCGAGCGCGAGGACGCGGTCACCGCGGTGACTCAGTGCCCTGCGCGCCGCAAGCAAACGCTCCCCTCCAGCATGCCCAGCTCCGCAGCCGCGGCTTCCCCTTCCTGCCCCCTTTTTTAATTCCACGATTCAAACCCGGCGTTTTCCGCTCCCCCCTTCCCCCCCTCCACCGCCCGCCAGTCATTCGAGAGCCTGTCCGGGTGTTTGGTCCCCCCCCACCTCCCATCTGCAGAACTGAAGGCCAACCTTCGCGCTGCCTCGCTGCGGGCCGGGGGATCGGACGTGGCCCGCCCGGGGCCGGGCACCGCGCTGGGCGACCGCGATCCGGAGCCCGACCGGAGGGGGCGGTGCGCCGCGCTTTCGGCTGCTCGGGCGGACGGCGCCCGGGCCCGGCTCCCCATTGGTCGTCACCTCGGCGGGGAGGGGCCGCCCCGGCCCCGGGGCACCTGGAGTCGCCTCTCCGCAGGGAAATCGGCGACTGCCGGGCACGGGCGCCCAGAGGTAAAGGCGTCCGGAGGGAAGGCCCGGGGCCGCGGCCGAGCTCTCGGCCACCGGCTCTGCCCTGCCCTCCGCCCCGGCGCCGGCCACGCTCGGATGCCCCCAGCGCCCGCCCCGCCAGGCGGAAACTTTGCCCCGCCAAGTCCCCCGCCCGCCTAACAGCGCCGAGAGGCGCCTGGTCGACCGCGCGCCCCGCCGGGGCCCCTAAACCCCGCGCGTGATTGCGGGGCCCCCCGGCTCCCCGCGCCCGCCGCGCCCCGGCGTGCGCGAGCGGCCGCCAGGATGCGCTACGCGGACCCCTCGGCGAACCGGGATTTGTTGGGGAACCGAACTTTACTCTTCATTTTCATCTGCGCCTTCGCCTTGGTGACCTTGCTGCAACAGATCTTGTACGGCAGAAACTATATCAAAAGGTAAGAAAGTCCGAGCGCGGGTGGGGGTGCACGGAGCTCGCGGGCGAGCCCCCAGGTGGCGGCCGCAGCGTCGGCCCAGGCGTCCCCGGAGTGAGTGACCCCGGGGTCGGCACTTTGGCCGCGAGCAGCGCCGCGTTAGGTTTGGGTCCTGGCGCTCCGAAGCGCATCTCTCCTCCCAGTGGCGGCAGAGAGCCTGCCCTGCGTGGGCCGGAGGGGCCCGACAACTTTGTTCTCTTGTGAAAATGGGGGACGGCTTGGAATTCCGAGCGGCCACGCTGATGACAAATCCATCTGAACGCCCCGAGGGGCCACAGGGGTCAGATCGGTGTCCCCCAAATCTACAGTGCCATGGCCGTTTGGTTGGAGGGGAGGCTCCCGGGAGTGGAGGGCTCAAAACCGGATAGGATTACCCTGTGAGTCCTGAACTCCTGTGGGGGCTCTTGGGGGAAAAGCATCCCCCCCACCCCGGAGCGCCCGGTTAGGTGGGGAGTGATAGTGGGCTGGGACTGCGACAGGGATCGTCAGTTTTCATAAACCAGTAACCACTGGGTGTGTGAAACTCACAACCTGATCAGTCCTGAAACAGATGGTTCTCTCTCAGGCTTACCCAGAAGGTCAGAGCTGCAGCGGGAGTTAACTCTCCCCTCGTTGGACTCTCTTCCTACCCCTTGCTCCCCCAATCCACCGCCAACTCTGTTGGGAGAAGGAGCGGTAGGAGGTGTCACAGCCCGGGTCCCTGTGTGTGCGAAATTGCCAGCCGTTTTTGTTCTGCTGGCGGGGAGAGACGCTTCGGGGTACTCTGCCCCCTTTCAGAGCTTGGGGATAGCGCTGACCCCAGGATACTCCCACGTCAGAGCCCCTTTAAGAAATAGCCTATCTCTCCTTTTGCCTGGAGGTTTGTTCTTTGCTGCAGTTAGGCTACTTCCCTCCCTGCCTGCACCGGTCCCAGAGCTGGGGAGTATGGGGCCTCTTGCCTGGGACATTTGTTTTTTAGCCAGCCACAGCCCCTGACCTCCCCAGACAGCATTCTTCCCTGGGGGAGGGCAGCTGATGAGCTTTGCATGGTGCTGGTGGCTTTAAAGGACATTTTCAGTCTCCTGGCTGGCTTGGGTCTGCCTCCCCTTCTGGCTACTGCCATCCCTCCAAGATAACCCCATGCAAGGACTGCCGGGCCCCTGCTGGCCTCCACCTGCTGCACTTGTTACCTCCTCAGCAGGTGACTCTGGGTTCCTGCACCCTGTTGGCACCTGCTCAGCACTGCTGGGGCTGCTGGGGTCCCTGCTGCCTTGTCAACAGTGGGAAAACATCAGTACCCGTGCTCAACGCCAGCTCGTCTACTAACTGCTTGCTCTGGCAAGCCCTCCCTGGTCTTGCGTGGATGTGCGAGCTGCCCAGAATTCAGCGGGCTTGCCAGTTGCCTCCCATCCTCCCTCACACATAGATCCTGACTCCCTGAATCTCAGATGCCACCTCTCAGGCCTCACTCCAGGAACGTGGGGTAATCCAGTCAAGCAAGCAGAACTGGCCTATGCTTGATCCTGGAAGGATGCTGTGGGGGTCTGTGAAGAGGCAGATGGTGTGGTCCTGGTGTTCAGGAGGCTTGAGATCTCTTTGGGGAAACGGAATAACCGCAGAGGAGATAGTTAAGTAATAAGTGTTAACTTGTCTGAGGAAGGAGGTACCAATGGGCTGGAGTAGTTAGGGAAGACTGCCTGGAGGAGGTAGAACCTGAGTGGGCCCTCGAAGGAAGGGTGAGATTTAGATGCATGTGTGTGCGGGGAACGTGCACATCCAGAACTGAAGAGCGTGCGAGCAAAGGTGCAGAGATGGGGCACCACCTCCTTTCCCCTCTCCCATGCCCGGACTACCCACGCATGCGTTCACCTGTCTTGTTTCGTATACATACAATCATAATGAACTGACTTGATGTGATTATTGGTCTGTGTCCTGTCTAGAAACACCTCACACTTGAGTGTTCCCCAAGCAGAGATCTTGGGACAGCCTCATGAGAATCACTGATATGCAGATGCTTGGGCTCAGAATTGGACTCTCTGGGGATAGATCCAGTACGTGCTTGTTACCAGGTCCCCACATGGTTCCTTACAAGCTCCCCCTGCTGCTCTAGACCCACAGTTCTCAAGGGAGAACAATGTTACCCCCAGGCGATATCTGGAAACATTTTTGGTTGTCACACTGGGAGAGGAGAGTGCTACTGGTGTCTTATGGATAGAGGCCAGGGATGCTGCTGAAGATCCCACAGTGCATCATCTGCTTCCCACAGGAAAGTGTTATCCAGCCCTAAATATCAATAGGGCTGAAGTGGAGAAACCCTGCTCTGGACCGAAAGCTCCATGAGGCAGGGTTTCACTCTGTTTTGGTGCCACCTGCACACTGAGCACCAAATATGATGCCTGGCACGTAGTAAGCTCTCAATAAATATTGGATAATGAAGAAATGATTAAAAGTGGTATGTGTGTATGTGTATATGTCTGCGTGTGCCCACGTGCGCCCAGGGTAACTGGAAGACACAGTGAAGAAATGGATCCAGCTGGTATAAGGGAGAAAGTGGAGAATGGGGACAGATGTAATGTTGGGTGAGTAGCTTCAGTGAGGTGCTTTGTGGATGGGGAAGGACAGGTAGAACTGGGTTCGTTCAGTCATAGGGAGCCGCATGTGGTCTTTGAGCAGGGTAATGATATGATAAAAGCCACCAGGAAGGAAGGTTATTCGGGCTTTGTAAGGAGAGGTTAGCAATGGGGAGAGGCTGGGAGGCTCTTGTTACAGCCTGGTACAAAGTGAGGAGAATCTGGTGCGGAGGGCAGATCCACTTTGGACCTTGGGGGTTCCTGAAGGCTGTCATTCTTCGTTCCCTTGCTGAGCTGGTCTGATGATGTATTCAGCAAAGCCTCCATTGTTTGCCACCTTACAAAGAGCTCAGAGGCACAAAGGTGACAAGCTGTTTCAGTGAGAATTCGGGACAGACTTCACCAGAAGGGAGTGGGGGATGTGAGTTGGTATGTGTTCTTTCCTTGGACCCCTGGTCTCTGCCTGTGCTGTGCTGTGGCCACTTCTGGGGGGTGTCCGTTGGAGCGATCGGGACTCTGGGGGCCCATCTTGCAAACACTTCCGGTGCTCAGGAGGGGAGAAGGTGGGCAGTGCAGATGGCTCAGGGGGCATGGTGTCTCCGTGGAGAAAGTGCACACTCTGTGGACTGGGAAGAGAGAGCATGAGAACGCTGTGAAGTTTGCCGTTGATTTTCTTGGCTTCCTCCTATCTGTGCTTTGTTGAACACATACTTGATGAAGATTTGCTATATGCTGAACACCACGCTAAGTGCTGAGGACAGTGGTGTGGCAGGCGGACCCCGTCCAGGGTCTCCAGGGAGCTTGCAGTCTATTAGGAAGACAGAAAGGCACGTAATACGTACATAAGCCAAACTGCAGGTGTGAGCAAGGGCTTCCAGAAGTGAGGAGGGAGCCGTAGTGGATTAGGATGGCTTCAAGGTGCATGGAGGCATTTGAAGGGGGTCTTGAAGAGAGGAAAATGATCCGTAGGCATGGGGGAGGAGGAAGGAAGGGGGATGAAAGCCAGCTTGAATAAGGATAGCAAAGTTCAGGGGAGAGCTAAGTAGTTCTGCATGACTCAAATATCACAGCTGTGTAGCTGGGGGCAAGGTGAGGCAGGCAGGGCCTGGTTATGGAGATTCGAGTAGTGTGAGAAGAAGCATGTCTGGAGGGAAGAGGGTAACAAATTTGAGTCTGGATCTGTTAGGACACTCACTGCAAGGAGATCCACATGGAGCTATCCAGCAGCTCCTTGGAAATGAGCTCCAGAACTGTGGGTGGAGAAGAGCCAGGCTAGCAATGCAGATTATTTAGTCACCATCAAAATCAGTGTTTTCCCAACTTTTATAATTGTTAGCCACGGTAAGAACTGTGTTATACCCAGGGATCTAGAACACACTCACATACACATCTGAAACAGCCATTTTGTGAAACTATGTTTGGCCTTATTATAAGAAATGTGCTTTAATATTTTCTATTCCGTTTCATTTACAAAATAAATTCGGCCTTAAAAAGGAAGGGAAATCTGATATATAACATGGATGAATCTTTTTTTTTTTTTCTCAACATGGATGAATCTTGAAGATATTAGGCTAAAATAAACCAGACACAAAATGACAGATATTCTATGGTTCTACTTATATGAGGCACCTGGAGTAGTCAATTCATAGGGACAGAAAGTAGAATGGTGGTTGCCAGGGGCTGGAGGTGGGGTGGGAGGTTCGTGTTTAATGGGGACAGAGATTCAGTTCGGGAAGATGAAAAGGTCTTGGAGACGGCTGGTGGTGATGACTGCATAATGGATTGACTACACTTAATGCCACTGAACTGGAGACTTAAAAATAGTTAAAACGGTAAATTTCTGTTATGTATATTTTACCACAATACAAGAGTTGACAAAATTCTTGGGGTAACCCACCAAGTTGATTTTATAACTTGTTGGTTTGAAACCCTTAGTTAGAAAAAACACTGGTCCCCGTGATGAGGTTGGATGAGATCACCCAGGAGAGAGCAGAGTGAGGATGATGAAGGCCGGGGCACAAAGGAGAGCCTTAAGGACTGCCTGCATCTAAGGGTCCAGAGAGGAGAGCTAGCTCTGGAAACTGAGGCTGCAGAGAGGCAGAGGGGAATGGGTGTTAAGGAAACCAAGGCATAATGGTGCCAAGCAGAGAGCGGTCACCTGTGACACCCACTGCAGAGGGATCAGGTAGGATAAGGCCTACCTGGATTTGGCTATATGGGCAAGGACAGTTCTGGGGGGCGGGAGGGATGGGTCAAAAGAAGGATTTTCTAGAATCAGGAGCATGGAATTTGTACCCTCCTCCTTTAAGACCTCCACTGCCCCCAAGCTCCTTTGTTAGTGCTAAAATCGTCACATGAACTTGCATCCCTAGAGTGCAGAGGACTAAAAGTACTTACACTTTAACAGAGGGGCAG